GTCAATTTATCATACCGATTTTATAGTCTTATATTCTTCTACGCTTTGCGGGTTCACAGTGAACACCATTCTTTGTACAAAATATCACTTAATATTAATTTTTCGTACATGACATTGTACGTAGTTCCAGAACGTAGAATGTTGTTTACATATAGCCATTCAAATTTTTGAACATTCATATTGTCAATATATCATTAGGATTTCATGGACTTATGTTATTCTGCAATTCATGGGTTTCACATGTAAAATTTTTGTTTACATAAATATCAACTAATATAATATATTGGGCCTGAAATTTAACTGAGATATGGTGCGTTAAATGTGTTTAACGTGTTATCCTTCAAAGTATTCCGCATTTATTCTGTTAATATATCATATAGATTTTATGGTATTACAATACGCTCGCGGTAACGAACACAATTTTTTGTACAAATGTCATTTTTTTGTACAAATGTCTTCTATGTGCAATACATGAAGTATTGCGAAGTTCTGATAGGTGGAATGTGGTTTACATATGAACATCCAAATTTTTCAAAATAATAATATTAGAATATCATATTGATTTTATGGTCCTATATTCTGCTACGCATCGCGTTTTTCAAAAGGAACACTATCACTCTGTACATAAATATCATCTGATATTATTTACCTATCATTAAACATTGCGGAGTTCCGAAAAATGGGGTTTACGTATGGCACTTAAATATTTTCGATATTTATTCCATCAACACATCATATGGATTTTTATGGTCTCATATTACTACATGCACAACGGTACGTATTCTCAAGGAACACCATATTTTGTGCATAGATATCATCTAATACCATTTATTCAGACTTAAATATTACGGACCAATATATCACCAATATTCCGTATGAGGTATATATGACCGTTCAAAATATTATACACTCACTTTGTCAATATATGCTATTGAATTTATGGCCTTATATTATACTACGCACCGCGAGGTACTTAATGCGAACCATTCTTTTTTTTTGAGCAAATACTATCTAATATTATTTATCACTCCTGCTGTGTTATGGATTCCGTGTAATGAAGTTTACACAGTCCATTCAATATCTTCAACATTCATTCTGTCGAAATGTGTTGTCAAATTTATAGTCTCATATTATTATGCGTATCGCGTGAAGCACTACGTAAACCATTCAGTTGGACATACATATCATCTAATACTATTAACCCTTTGAGATTGAGTGTCGGCAAATAGCCGCCCAAGCCTTTTTACCGTTGCGGACGAGTGTCG